GTGTGTCGGAGGTGTGTCGGAGGTGTGTCTCGGAGGTGTCTGGGAGGTGTGTATCGGAGGTGTCTGGGAGGTGTGTCTCGGAGGTGAGTCGGAGGCGTCTCTCCTTGGACTCGGACTCGATGAAGAGCAGCGAGGCGTCGCGCGAGGTCCAGCAGTCCACGTTGAAGAGCTCGTCCGGCTCCTACTCCGAGATGCAGCCGAGAGGTGGCCGAGATGTAGCCGGGAGATCGCCGAGACGGTCCTCTGTTTGAAGAGCTCTCGGCGCCTCGAAGACACGCACGTCTTCCGCCTGCGCCGTGCCGATGACGTGCCTCCACACCTTTGGAGAGGCGGACTCGCTGGTGAGGCTCGAGGCGTGCTGCTGCGCTCGAGTCGTGGTTGACGCGGCAAGAAAGGTTGCCACGCACCTCAAAGGGCCGGTGCTGCGCGTCGAGCTTCACGTAGAAGAGCGTGCGCTCGTCCGCCCACGCGATGCTCCCTCCCGTCCCGCGGATCTCCTCCTCCATCTCCACGCCGCTGCCCAGCTCCTTGAGCCTCACCGTGTACGTCTCGTACCCCGACCTACGGGGGCGGCGCGGAGGCGGCTCACAGGCGGTTCAGAGACGTTCCCGCGGATCGTGTCCGTCTCATCCGCGGACCCGTCCACTGCGTACGCGAGCAGCCGGCCAGACGGGCTCGTCTCCACCTAGTAATTAATAATGAAACCCTCAAGAGCTAGTGTGTGCAGCCTGCCGGACGGGCTGTCTGCACCGCGTGCACGTCGCACTGGCTCGCGTCCCACCTACAGGCGCGCAGCAATGCCGGCATCAAAAGCGGTTGGGCAAGAAGACAGTGAGGGGCCAGGACAGGCCCACCCGCCCTCGTCCTTGAAGTACTGCAGGCTCGGCACCTCGTTCACGTCGAGAATCGTCTGCTCCTCGCCGGCGCTGCCGCGCGGCCGGCGGAGATACACCCGGAAGGACTTGCCCTTGGTGGTGCGGCTCCAGTACTCGTATCCGTCCGCGGCGGGCGTGGGGTGCGTGTCGTCGTCCTCCTGGACGTGCGAAAGCATCTCATCGTACAGCGTGCCTCTGAAACCGTCGAGGGTGGAGGTTTTGTGCTGCGAGTAGGCGTTCTCGTCGCGTAGCAGCTGGAGCATGTCCTCGTTCTTCCGGCTGTCGTCCCGGATCCAGAAGAGGTCGTCCGACAGCTCGAGCGGCTCCATTGGGTTTGGCCCGCGGTTCTCGCCATCGACGCGGCCAAACGTGACTGTGTGTGGCACGCGCTTGGCGATCGGCGGGGCTACGGCACTCATCATCCTCGGCGAGGTCGTGAAGGCGGCGGCGAGTGTGGCGAGCTTGCTCGGCAATCGCATGCACCGATGAAAACGGCACCGATGAAAACGCAGGCTCCGCCACTTGCCGGCGTGGGCTGCGGCGTGGAAGTGCGCGATGTTTTTCTTCTTCTTTGTTTCTTACCGCGTTGGTGTCCAGTCCGAGCCTGGCTGTTCTTCACCTTACTACCTACCTACCTACCTGGAGCTTCAGGAAAATAATTTCAACAAAACAACAATTTGTCCGCCGCCGACTCTTAGACTCCGCCACCTCGCAAACTCATCCAACCGTACACATCCTCCGATCGGCCGTGGATGATGTCCTGGTACCTCTGCTGTATCCGCTCGGTGATCGGGCCCCGCCTGCCGTTGCCGATGGCGATGCGGTCCAGCGAGGCGATCGGCATCACCTCGGTCGCGGTGCCCGTGAAGAAGAGCTCGTCCGCCACGTAGAGCGCCTCCCGCGGGATCGGCTCGATGCGGACGGGCACACCCGCCTCTGCGGCGAGCTGCAGCGCGGACGCGCGAGTCAGCCCCTGCAGGTTCGAGCCGTTGATCGGCGGCGTCGCGATCTCGCCTAAGGACGCGGTGCCGGGTCCCGCGGTGCCGGGAGAGGTTCCAGGCCGTTGACAGGTGGGCGTCGACATCTCTTTGACTCGCGCACCGTCGCGCACGACGAACAGGTTCTGTCCGGAGCCCTCGGAGACCATGCCGTCGCTCCCCAGCGCGACCGCTTCCACGTACCCGTTCGCCTGCGCCTCCATCTTGATGAGCGCGGCGTTGTTGTAGTTGCCAGCCGCCTTGGCCATGCCAGGGAACGTGTTTGGCGCCGGCCGCGCCCAGCTGGCGGTGCAGCAGTCGATGCCGGTGGAGAAGGCGTCGGCGCCGAGGTACGCGCCCCATTTCCACGCGGGGATGTAGCATTCGACCGGCGAGCCCTTGCCATCCATGCCGACTGCTCCGTACCCGCGCAGGACCATGGGGCGGATGTAGCAGCCGTCGTGCAGCCCGTTGGCCTCGACGACGTCAAAGCACGCGGCGGCGAGCTCTTCCGCGCTGTAGGGCACGTCGACGCGGTACATCTTGCACGAGTCGAGCAGCCGGCGCAGGTGGCCGTCGAGGTGGACAATGGCAGGACCGCTCGGCGTGCCGTAGCAACGGATGCCCTCGAAGAGTGAAGATCCGAACTGTACCGCCGTCGAGAGGATGTGCACGTTTGCCTCTTTCCACGGGATTAGTTCGCCGTCCTTCCAAATCGTGCTCGCCTCTGGAAAGCCAGATGCGCAGCGGCGAGCGGACGTGCCGGCGGCAGCGCGGAAGCCACTCGCCCGTCGCGTCGCGCGAAGCATCACTGTACCCTTCTTCTCTCGTAGACCTCGCGAGCGGGCAGTGTGGTAGTCAGGTCAGGGCAGTGTGGGTTTCACCGCATTACGGGTCGCGGTCGACAGACCTGCAACTTTTTGCGGGGACGGTATGGTCAAGCAAAGGGTAAGGGGGTATGTAGGAGCACGTGCCCGTGTCGCGGAGCTGCTGCAGCTGTTCCACGCTCCACTCGCCGACACCCTTCTGGTGGTGCTCAATGTCGCGCTACTAAGCTGCCCCGCATCATCGCGGACGAGCCCTCGTCAGAAAAGAAAGAAAATAGACAACCCTCGTCGCTTAGTCCTGAGCCACGCGCACGGACAATTCTTTATCTCAAAGAAAGAAAGAAAGAAAACAGACAACCCAAGGGAGGGATGGGTGGGAGGACGGCACGCCGCCAGCCCGCCACCACACAGGGATTTTAAGGAGAGGAGTGTGGTGTTAGCCGTTGCCCATCCACCCTAATTCTTTATCTCAGTAAAAGAAAGAAAGAAAGAACAGACTACAACCCAAACGAGGGATAGGGGAGGAGGACAGGGTCCCCACCTGCACGAGCAGGATTTTGGAAGGACGATCAGGGGGACAGGTGGGCTCTCCTACTCCTGACAAGGGACACGACAGGCTCGCAGCGCGGTGCACGGTTACCTCAGTAAAGAAAGAAAGTTAAATATGTTAGTGCCAGTGCGCGCCAGTCCCGAGTACCAGAAAATTCTTTAAAGCGGCTGGCCCAGGGAAAGCTTTCTCGCCCTCCCTGCTTCCTCGGACGGCTGTAGCTCCCACGCATGATCTGGTCTCTCGTGATGTGCGCGTCCCTGGTCACGCATGCGCCATCCGCCACCGTCTTTCGCCGCGCCCGGCCGGAGGAGTCGGCCGACATCGCCGTCCTCCGCGTGCACACCTTCTGCGGCCACCTCCGTGCCCCGTACAGCCGCTACCTGCAGCAGCGCGTATTTGAGGAGTCCATGGCCGCCAAGACGGCAACGGTCGTCGCCGTGGCAGCCAGTCGGGCCGTCGCGGGTGAGGCTGGCCCGATTCTCGGCTGCGCGGACCTGCTCCAGGCGACGACCGCTTCGTGCTACGTGACGAACGTGGCAGTTCATGCGCAGGCGCGGCGGCGCGGCATCGCGCGCGGGCTAATGCGCCTCGCGGAGGCGCAGGCGCTCTCCCTCGGCGGCGAGGAGCTCGTGCTGCACGTGGAGGAGGTGCCGCCGAGACTCCTCCGAGACACTTCCGAGACTCCTCCGAGACGCCTCCGAGACGCCTCTGAGACTGCGGAGTTAGCCACCCGAGCCTGAGCCGCTGACCCCGCGGCCTGGCCACGCAGGACAACGCGCCCGCGCTCGCGCTGTACGAGGCGATCGGCTTCGCGCCGCTGCTCGACGAGCCACAGCGGTCCTTCTTCTCCGCCGCCGCCTTCACCGACGCCTCTGCGCCGCCGCAGCGCCTGCTGCGGAAGCGCCTCCATGCGACGGCCATCGCACGCGGCGGGCTCCCCTCGATGAGCGCGGCGGCGGCCGGCCTGGACGCTCCTCGGGGCGACGGCGCGCGGGCAGGCGCTCTCGCTGTCGCCAGGAGGTCGCACACACGCTCGGACCCTTCTCGGACCCTTCTCGGAGCCGTCCCCTAGGCGCCTCGCCGACGCTGGAGGAGGTGGCCGAGGTGGCCGAGGCGGCGGGCCGCGCGGCGGCGGCGCTCGTGCGCGACCGGCTCGCCAGCGGCGTGCTGGAGAGGCGGCGCGAGGTCGCCCTCTCGGATGTCGAGACTGTGCCGAGAGTAGGGTCGGGGCCGGCGTGCTCAAGACGAAGGCGACGCGCGGCGACCTGCTCACCGCGGTGGACGGGGAGGCGCAGGAGGTCATCGAGGCGGCCGTGCGCGCTGCCTTCCCCGCCCACGCCTTCCTTGGCGAGAGGAGCCGTCTCGGAGCCTCCTCCTCGCTGCACGCCCTGTTCGGACCTTCCTCGGACCCTTCCCCCACAGGAGAGGAGAGCGTGCCCGCGGGCGCGACGGCGTCCGCAGACGCGCTGCGCTGCGCGCTGGACGCGTGCGGCAGCGACTGGCTCTGGGTCGTCGACTTTCTCGACGGGACCAGGAGGTGTGAACAGCGTCTCTTCACACCCATTGCTGTGAACAGGTCGTCGACCCTCTTGATGGGACGACCAACTTTGTGCAGAGCTTGCCGCTGGTGGGCGTCTCGATTGGAGTGGCGCGGGGCGAGGAGGGCGCGGGGCGGGCCTTGAGGCGGGCCAGAGAGGAGCCGAGGGGAGGCTCATCTTAGGCGCGCCGCGTGGGCGAGGCGGCGGAGCGGCGATGGGAGGTCGTCGTCGGCGTCGTGGTCGACCCGTTCCGCGAGGAGACCGTCACCGCCACCCTCGGAGGCGAAGACTCTTCCGAGACGCTTCCGAGACGCTTCCGGGACCCTTCCGAGACGCTTCCGAGACGCTCCGCGAAGAGGCTGCCGCCGCCGCCATCGCCACTTCCACCGCCACCGCCACCGCCACCGCCGCCACCGCCGCCGCCACCCCCCCTTGCAGGCGGCTGCACGCTCAACGGCTCTCCCGTCCGCGTCGGGGTCGAGCCACTCGCTGACGCTGTCGTCGCCACCGGTTTCGCTCCAACCGAGGCGTCGTCTCTCTCGACGCTTCTCGGCCAAACCTCGTCCCGCATCTCGACCGTCCCTCGGCTGCTTCTCCAGGCGTCTCTCGCGCCCATGGTGCGCGGGATCGCGGCGGTCGGCGCGCGCGCACGCACCGTCCGCATGCTCGCCTGCCTAGATGCGGAACATAGGGAGACGACACGCAGTCGGCGGTCAGCGCCCAGTCTTCCCGCGATGCTCTGACACCGGGCGCGAGCTCGTGCTCAGGCTCGGCTCCGCGGCAATCATGCTCGCGTGGGTCGCGTGCGGCCGCCTCTCCGCCTACTTTGAGGCCGACCTCAACGCGTGGGACTCCGCGGCGGGCGTGCTGCTCGTGCGCGAGGCGGGCGGGCTCGTGAGCGACCTGCGGGGAGGGCCCTTTGGCATCGCCTCGCGGCCGATGCTCGCGTCCAACGCCGCGGCGCACGCCGAGCTGCGGGAGGTGCTGCGAGACGCGCGCGTGCTGGGCCTCGACCCGCTCTGACACACACACGCGCGTCTGCCAACACGGCGTCCTCCGTAGTGTCCACGCCGGCTCCTTGTGTTCTCGATGAGACCGGGCGGCGCTTACCGTCTCGCCTCGCGGCTCTCTCAAAGGCGGCCAAATCAGAGAACTTGTATTTGTTGTGTACACTGGAACAATTGAAGGAAAGGGCGAAAGAATTCTTGGCGGTTGGAACACTTTGAGCACTTGGTCTTGGAGTGCAGCAGTGGTCACACAACCTCTCGCTCTCTTCACAGCTCCTCTGAGCTTCACACCCCCCGCAGCGCGCAGGGCCCCGTGCTGCGGTCACCGTCTCTTCGACCTTGGTTTATTGTTGTGTAGCCACACAACGACTCGGCGCTCACATCGTCATCGAGATCTCGTTGTCTAGGAGCAGGCCGTCACGGCAACCGATCGCGTGCCGCCAGCCGGCAGGGTTGCCGTGTGAGCTAAGTTAGTGCGCGTAGTAGCCGGGAGGCTCGCCTCTAAGAGCACTACGAGGGGGAGGGCTGTATGGACCACAGGCGAAATTCTTTTGACGGTGTACCTGTGTTAGTGCCAGTGCGCGCCAGTCGTGCCCAGTAAAAGAATCTCAGTAAAAGAAAGAAAGAAGCCGTCAAAAAACGAGGGATGGGGGAGGAGGACAGGGTCCACACCTGCACGAGAAGTCGTGCCCAGCGTCGTGCGAGGCCCTCAAAATTCTTTTGACTTCGCCCATCAAGCTGGAAAGCTTTAGAAGAACAACTGTCTTGACACAACAGCGATGCCGACTTAGGGTGCGGGGAGGGTCGGCGAGCACTCACTCACTCATTAGGGCGGCGCCGCAGGGCCGGGGCGCTGGCCACGGCCTCGCCGGCCACTAGAAGGCGGCCCCCACCCACTACGCGCACTAACTTATGAGTGGGCGGGGTGGCGGGAGGGGGGAGGCAATCACCCACTAGCCCGCTCGCTGTGGCGGCCCACTCACTTCCGCACACTAAGTTAGTGCGCGTAGTAGCCGGGCTCGCCTCTAAGAGCACTACGAGGGGGAGGGCTGTATGAACAGGCGAAATTCTTTTGACGGTGTACCTGTGTTAGTGCCAGTGCGCGCCAGTCCCGTGCCCAGTGTCGTGCGAGGCACCCGATTGTAAAATTCTTTTGACTTGGCCCATCAAGCTGCGAAAGCTGTAGAACAATTGCATGCTGGTCGCGTTTGCCTGCCTCACGGCGGCCCTCGTGGCGCCAATCCGGCCGCGCTCGTCGGCTCGCGCCGCCACCTCGATGTACGGCGGAATGATGAGCCCCTACCGATTCGAAAACATCGGCCCTTCCCGACTGAACACACCGTTCACCTTCGACTCGTCTTCTTCCACCGACCAATACTCACAGCGAATGATGTACGGGATGAGCCCCTATCGCGCGTACGGCGGCGGAGGCGGCTACGATTACGTACAGTATCGCCCGGAGCGGTACCGCGGTGGCATGCTTGGAGCGTACGGAGGCGGCGGCATGAGCCGCCTCGGCGGAGGCTGGGGCGGAGGGTACGGAGGCGGCTACGGCATGAGCCGCTTTGGCGGAGGCTGGGGCGGAGGGTACATGGACTATGAGCCTTGGGAGGGGGGCCTCGGCATGGAATATGGACCCTACGACGGCTGGGGCGGCGGCTACATGGATTATGGGGACTATGGCCCGTGGGACGACTTTGGCGGGTTCGGAGGCGGCTACATGGATGGGCCCTGGGACGATTTTGGCCCCTACGACGAGTGGCATGGCGGCGGATACGGCGAGCCACGTCTCCTGTCCGCGCCCCGCGAGACGGCGCATCTCTCACCCGTGTCACGACCATAGGTGGCTTTGGCGGCTACGGCGGCGGGTACATGCGGGGCCGATGGTGAGCGCTGCTCCGAGGTGCTGATCTGTGCGCGGTGGGCGAGGTGGCGCGATAACGCCGCGGCCGCGCGCATGCGGAGCCAGAGACGTGCACCACAACGTGCACTCTGATTGTGCGGTGCGATGTCTGAACCTGGTCTGAACCCTGCTTGAGAACACGGGAGGGTGGCGGGTGTGTAAACCGTTCGCGGTTATTTCTTGTGTCCTCATGTGCATGTTGTAAAGTGAAAATTCTTTGAGCTAGCCTTAGCTCGCCCACAGACATCCCGCACACCCGCCACCCCCGCGCGAGCCCCGCCCAGACCGGGAGAAAGAGGGTAGTGACAGTTTGGGATATGGCCGCAGAACGACTATCTTTTCTTGCACGCCAATCCCGTGCCTAGTGTCGTGCGAGGACTTTGGCCGCTTTGTGTATCTCGAGACCTCGAGAGACGGCCGCCAGACCGCAAAGAAATTCTTTTCTTGTCGAGAGTCGGCAAGTGCCACCGCTCGGAAATGCTAGCCTTCTCCACGTCCATGTCGTCGCTCACCGTGCCTCCAATCACCCTCTACACGCACACGGCCTGCCCGTTCGCCCAGCGCGTCGCGATCGCGCTCGAGGCGACCGGGCTGCCCTTCTCAAAAGTCGAGGTGTGTGCGCCTCACGAAGCGCGAGACGTGGGTACGGTACTCACGCGTCACACATCTCATCTAGGTGAACCTCTATGGCCGCGGCGGCTTTGACAAGTCGCAGCTTCGCAGGGTGGAGTCGGACGGCGGGCTGAGACCAAAGGGCTACATCCCAGTCATGGCCATCGGCGACGAGGTGATCCGCGAGAGCTCCACCTGCGTTGAGCGGGTCGCCGCGCTGAGCGCCACTGCGCCGGGCGCCGTCTCGCTGGAGCCCGAGGATCCCCAGCTAGCGCGAGAGCTCATCCGCCTGTGCGATACGCTGCCAAAGGCGCCGCAGTCCGCTGCGCTGGATCAGCTGCTGCGCAAAGTTGACGCCGTCCTCGCGGTGAGGGGCGAGGCAGGTTATCTCGCAGGCAGTGCCTTCTCGGTCGCCGACGCCTGCTTGCTGCCCTTCCTGCAGCGCGTCGACCTCCCCGCGGACGCGGCGGCGCTGCGAGGATACCTGGCCCGCGCGCACGCCATGCCAGCCTTTTCGCGGACGGTAGTCGATTCGTGGTGGTGGTGGTGGTGAGAGCTCATCATGCTCATGCCGGTTTTAGTCCGCATGTCGGTGTGTATGGTGTGCCATGGCAGTGTATAGAAAAAGAGATACACGCGAGATACCACACCGCTCTTTTTCGCACAAACTAAATCACTGTGCACATTCCTCTAGCAGCCCAGCGCAACCAGGGCCTCCTCGAGGAGCGCTCGCTCGAATCCCACCAGCCGCCGCGCGGCCGCGACGGCGGCCTCGGGCTCGAACGAGCCTGCCGCATCGTGCGGTCTGGCGCCTCCCGCTGCGCCGTTCTCGAAGCCAGCGAGGTGGGCTCGCACCAGCCGCGCCATCCGCGCCCTGGCGGCGTCCTCGTTCTGCACGGCGGCGCTCCTCAGCCGCCGAGCCGCCGCCTCGCGGCCCGCCTCGCCCGCGGCGAGATCGCGCGCGTACTGGGCAGACTCGGACGGGGTGAGGACGGTCGCGCGCAGCGCCGCGAGGAGCGGCGCAGCCTCGGCGAGGTGGTCCGGCAGCCACCACGCCTGCAGCGTCGGGTCGCTCCCCGCCTCCGCCTGCGCGGCGACCAGCTCGCGGCGGATAGCGGACGGCGGCGGCGCCCCCTCGGCCCCGCCCTCGTCCGCCGCCTCCGCCTCGCGCAGCAGCGCCTCGAGCTCCGCCGGCGGCACGACAACCTCGGCGGTGTGCACGACGGCGGACTCGTCCCAGAAGCCGTACCGCTCGTACAGGTCGAGGTAGTCCGCCTCCGGGTCATAGTTGATGCTCACCTCGTCGTCGACGCCCAGCGCCACCGTCGCGACGAGCCGCACCTCGCCGTCCGCCACGCAGACCTTTGCGCTCTCGCCGACCGACCTGTGGTTGGCGAGGCAGACGCACGGCGGCAGCACGTGGCCCTGGTCCGTCTCGACGGCGCGCGTCTGCAGGAGCAGCTTCACCCAGAGGAACATGTCTCCGCCCTGCGGGATGAGCGAATCCCACGGCGGAGGTGGCTTGAACTTGAAGCCCGCCTCGGCGAAGGCGGTCCCCTCCTCCACCACCTCGCGCCGCATCCGCGCCACCCGCCTGTACGACACCGAGTTGGCGGCGACGCGCGCAGCCTCGCCGCCCTCGCGCCACCACGCCATGTGCTCGCAAAAGTGGTGCGGCGGGCAAGCGGCAGCGTAGTAGCTCAAGCGAGGGTCGTCGGGCGCCTCTCGCATCAGACAGAGCGTCGCGGCGAGCAGCCTGCCAAACCCGTCCGCGACAGGGAGCCGGCGCGACATGGCGGCGCCTAGTCGTCAACGAGCTGTCCATCAGCGAGTAGGCAGCGAGTGCGACGTGGCGCCGGCCGAGCGAGCCGCCGAGCGAGGCAGAGGTGAGGCACTTGTCGAGCGGCACCGCCAGCAGCACGTCGCCAGCCGCGCACGGCACAGCGGCGCGCAGCGAGCAGCCCGCCGCGGACGCGAAATCCACCGCGGCGCGCACGCGGCTGGTGCTCGCGAACTCGATCGCCGCGTGCAGCTTCGCGGCGCGGCCGTCGTCCCCGAGCACGCCTAATCTCGCGGGCAATCTCGGGTGATCTCGAGGAAAGCAGCTAGGTGGGACTCGCCCTCCGAAGACGCGCCGTACTCGGACGCGCCGTGCTCGCGCGCCCAATCGAGCTCGCGCCCGGGCAGCACGGCCGCTTCCAGCCGCAGCCCGTGCTGCGCAAGCGCGCGCTCACGCGCCTCGCCCGCGCCCGCCGTCGCCGCCTCCTCCGCCACCCCGCCAACCCCGCCGCCGCCGGCTCTCCCCTCAGCCGCCGCCGGCGGCGGCGGCAGCGACAAGCAGAGGGCCGCGCCTCGTGCTGCGGCGAGGCGGGCGAGGGAGGCGAGGTGCGCGTGCACGGCATAGAGGGGCGCGCTCGTCCCAAGCTCTACCTGCAGCGATAAAGTGGCGGCAGAGGTGAGAGAGCGCTCTGTGTCGCCACGCGCCGCGCTGTGTCGGCCGCACCGACTGCGCCGCTGTCGGCTTGCGCGAGAGCAGCCCGTCGAGCCAAGCGGCGCTGACAAAGAGGACGCTCCTCGCCGACTCGCCGCCGCCGCCCTCGGCCCCGCCGCCTTCGGCAGCCGCCGCGCTGCCCTCGGCCCCGCCGCCGCCCTCGACTGGCCTCCACCACACGCCGAGCGAGATGCCCTCCTCCTTGCTCTCGACGCCAGCGTGCCAGTTGGGCCGCTGGCAGCCGCCTGGCTGGCTGTGCACGGCTGACGCGCCATGGCTTGGGCCACGGCTCGCCTTGCCGCAGCCCGCCGACTCGCGCGCGGGCAGGGCCGCGGCGACGTCGGGGCGGCAATGCTCGAGCATGTCGGTGAGGACGGCGGCGAAGGTCGCCTCTCTCGCTAGCAGAGTCGGCCAGATGCGGGGCAGCGCGGCGGGGGCGACGAAGTTCTGAGAGACTGCCACCGTCAGCGGCCCGAGGTTGAGGACCGCGTGATACCAGCCCGCCTGATGAGATGGCCCGAGATCACGGGAGACTACCCCGAGATCACGGGAGAATACCCGGGCACCGCATGATACCACCCCGCCTCGCCGCGGTGACACACGGTCAGGTCTCTCAGGTCTCTCACGCCACACCCCATCCGCAGACGATCTCGCGGACTCTCGGCCATCTCGGCTCTCTCTCTCTCGGCAATCAGGCGGAGCCCGCCGGGATGTAGACGAGCTCTCCCGCCCTCTGCACGACCTCGACCATCCGCACGCCGCCCTCCGCGGCGAGGCACTGCAGCCGCGGAAGCTCGTCGACGAACCACGCCGACGCGATCTGCCTCGCTCCGTCGCGGAACACGTCGAGGCCGAGCGAGGCCAGGTCGGTCTCCGGCGGGAGAAAGCACCTGGCAGGAGCGAGCGTGCGTGTGCGATGTGCTCCACGTCTCTTGAGGGTGTGGGAGGCGCACCAGCGCTTTGCGCCGCACGTGACGGCGTTCCACGCCGCGGTGCACAGCGGGTCGGCGTGCAGGAAGGTGCCCGAGCGAGGACCGCCGCAGAACCAGTAGCGAGCGCTCCGGGAGCCAGGTACGTACCGAAAGAGGTCATCGGAAAACGGCGGCGGCGGCGCAAAGTCGTCGAGGAGCGCGGCGCGGCCGTCCTCGAAGCGCCGCTCGACCAGGTAGTACGGGCAGTCCGCTCCGGTGCTCCTTGCGTACACGGCGTACTCTCGCAGCGTGACCGTCACGTCGTGCGCGAGCGAGAAGGTGAGGTCGCCATACGCGTCGAGGAGCGTCTCGACGCTGTGCCACCGCTCGCTGCCACGCCAGCCAGTGAGCGTGCCAGCGACCAAGAACGGCTCTGCACACGCGGCCAAGGCTGTGGCATCGTCTGCTGCAAACTCCGAGGCCGACACCCGAGATATGCTGGTCGCAGCGCCTGGGTCGGTCAGGAGCGCTTCGAACTCCGACTCGCGCGACGCGAGGCCGCGAGCGGTGCTATTGTGCTGGACGGAGCTGCCAAGCATCTGGAGGCGGCGAGCGTGGGGCGGTAGATGAGGGATGGTGGTGGGTCGCCTTTGAGAACTGGTCGATTGGCGCCTGTCTGAGCAGGAGCCGACGCTAGTCGGGAGCTGTGTCAGGAGCCTCGTCGCCGCGGAGGTTCCACGCACAAAGCGGCGGGCGGTAAGGGTTCCCGCCCTCCTACACCGAGGCTCGACCCGCTTCTCCTCCAGTTCACTAGCACAAAAGTAACTTTGTTTAACACGAAGGCGGGATTTTCTCTTTTTCGGTCCCCCGCCAGCACCCGAGGGTTTTACCAAGCTGCCAACCCTATTCACGCACAGTGCGCAAAAGACCACACCAACCAACCAACTGCTTCCGGGCCCGAGTGCGCGAAGTGCGGGACCAGCCAACCAGCCCCCCCCCCCCCCTGTGAAAGCACGAAGAAATCTCTCGGAAGTGTCCGCTGGCCGCGAGATCTGCGAGAGTGTCGCGCGGGCCGCGAGATCTGCGAGTGACCTAAGGCTGGGCGCCCACGATGCCCGTGCTTTGCGACCTCATCGGACCTGGCGCACCACTGCGCACTGGACGCAACGACTGCCTCAGTGATCGGCCTACCGCGCGCCGGGCCTCGCGGCAGCCCGTGGCGGTTCGTGCGCGCTGCGCTTGCGGTGACGGCGGCTCACGACCCCATTGCCGAGAGGGCTAAGGCAACAGCGAAGGCAGCAATTGCCTCGGTGCTTGCCACGTATAAGGACAAGGCTGTGTAAAAACGGTTATGTGTGTAATGATCTGTGATCTGTAAGGGTCCGCCCGCAGGCGCATTTTGTATACCGAGGCGGTGCCCGGTGCCGAACCTGTCGGACCTTAAGACAGCATTGTAGATCCCTGGGCGAGGGTGGTGGCGTCCCCGTCGGGAGGGAGGGGGCAGGGGCTGTCTGGTTTGTGGTTATGTGTGTAATAGACAATATGTGTGCGGAGAGTGCGGGACCAACCAACCAACATCTGGAGGCCTGGAGTGCGCAGAGTGGGGGACCACCCAACCAACCCAGGGCCCGGAGTGGGTGAATAGGGTTGGCAGCTTGGTAAAACCCTCGGGTGCCGCCGCGATCTTCTCTCTTTTTGGCTCGCCTTCGTGCATGCTCGAGCCCGTCGCGGTCTCTCTCCTCTTCCTCTCCGCCAGCGTCGCTGCTGTCGCCGTGGCGGGTGCGGCGCTCGCCGCCGCCACCGCCTGCGTCTGCCACGGCTGCCTGCTGGAACCAGACGAGCCGAGGAGGGAGGCTCATCCTTTCTTCTCGCTCCCCTTCTCAGACCGCACGGACCACGGGATCAGCCTCTCATGACCGGCGAACACTCTGACCTGCAGCGCGGCCTCCTCGCGCCGCCGTCTTCACTCCGCTTCGGGAGCAAGCGGCTCGCCGGAATCGCCGTCCTCGCAGCATCCTCCATCGCAGCCATCCTCGTATCGCGCACCTGGGCCATCGTGGCGGTCGCGTTCATCGCAGCGCGCGATCCACAGAGCAGTTCGCAGCTGCAGCAGCCACAGAGCAGCTCGCAGATGCAGATGCAGCAGCCTCCGCCTTCGCCACCGCCCTGCGCCCGCCAGATCTGGGTCATCCGGCACGGCGAGAAGTCGCCCCACCCTGCGCCGGGCTCTCCAGAGGTGCACGGGCTTAACGCGACCGGCTGGAGCCGCGCCTCGCACCTCGCCCGCCTCGTCGAGTCGGGCCACTGGCCGCGCTTCGTCGCTCTCTTTGCGTCAGACCCGGGCCGGCCGCCTTTTGCCCTGCGAGAGGTTTGCAGGGCAGGCCACTTCCTCCATGTCCGCCCCTCCTCCCTCTGCAGCGCCGCCGCCCGCGACAGGTGCAGACCGTGCAGCCGCTCGCCGCGGTGCTCGGCCTCCCTGTCAACGACTCGTTTGCCCAGAGCGAGGGCGAGCAGCTCGCGGCGGCGGCCCTCCTCGCGGCGCGCGACCGCTGCGGCGCCGTCCTACTCAGCTGGGAGCACTGCCGCATCCCCGCGCTGCTGCGGGCGCTGGGCTGCGGTGCGGAGGTCGAGATGCGGAAGACATTTCCCGCATTCCCCTTCGTATTCCCGCGAGTCGCAGGGATGCTGGGCACCGAGCTCAGCCCCGCGTCTCCCCACCCCAGGCGCGGAGCACTGTCTCCGCTGCTGGCCCGACGGCGAGTACGACCGAGTCGAGCGGGTCGAGCTGCTGCTGCGGGAGGAGCCGAGCGGTGCCCTGGCCCCGCCGCCGCCCCCGCCTGGCCTTCCTCCGCAAAAGACCGTCTCGGAGCCTTCTCGGAGCCTTCTCGGAGCCTTCTCGGAACCTGCTCGGACCCTTCCCGCAGGTGCGCCCGCCTGGCGGGTGCGCGCGATGCCGCCGGCGGCCGAGGGGTTCGGCGGCGACGTGGAGGGGTACCGCGGGTACGAGTGCGTCGACCCGGCGCACGTGGCAACCACGCGGTGCGTGATGCCGGACGGGACAGAGCTGCGGCCGCCCCTCCGCGGCGAGGCCCCTCGCGTCTTGGACATGGCTTCGGGGCGGGAGGCGGGGCGGGAGGCGGGGCGGGAGGTGGGCCGGCGGGCCGCCGCAGCACGCGACGCGCCGCGGGGCGAGCCGGCCCTCGCTGCGCCCTGTCCGCCCTTCGACTGCCTTACCCGCGAGGCGTGGGGCGGCGCCAAGCGGGCGTGGTGCTGCGCGCACGAGAGGCTCGGCTGCGCGGGATTGGGGGCGGCCCTGGCCGAAGGAGGCGGCGGCGGGCTGGCCCCGCCGCGGCTCGAGACGGGCGATCTCGTGTTTGTGCGCCCCGCCGCCGACGCGTCGGAGCTCGACAAGGCCGCCCCCCCCTGACCCCCTTCCATCTCCCCCCCCCCCTCCCCCCCTCCCCCCACTCTTGCCACGCGTTTAGCGCAGCCTAACCGCGTCCGCCGCGCGCCCCTCGCCCCGCCCGAGACCGTGACGCGGCCCACCAGGCCATCCTCGCGACGGGGGCGGCGACTGTGCTGTGGTGGCGCTCCCACGGCGTCAACGCGTCCAACGAGACGGCACGCGCCGCACACTAGCGCCCGCGCAACCTCGGAACCTTCTCGGAACCTTCTCGGAACATCCCTGCAGGCATGGCACGTCGCCCTCGCGCAGCGCGACGCGAGCGGTGCCCCTCTCCCGCACTCGTTTTGATGGCGCGCCCCACCCCGTCGGGGATCACGGCCCGAGAGCTGCGGCTAGGCGCGCTACACTTCGTCGAGGCGACTCCGCCCGCCGTCGTCGTCACGCCGGCGGCCGACTTTTGGCGGCGCGCCAGCCACGCGACTCTGTACGCCGGCCGCCTCGTCGGCGCGAGGATGCGTGCGCTCGGCGCCGCCGCCACGCAGGCCGCGAGCGCGCAGGCGGGCACGCCGTACGCGAGCGACTTCGAGCCGCCGCCCGCCAAGTTTTACTGCAGCTCGCTGGTGGAGTGGGCCTTCGGCGTCGCCGCCGGCGAGAAGAGCGTCTTCCTGCCGCCGGGCCTCACGTTCAAGCTGCTGTTCGAGCCGCTCGGCTTCTGGGAGCGGTACTACCACGGCCTGAACCAGAGCTTGCCGGTCAACGTGAGCGGTTCCAACCCCACGCTCCTGCTCCACAGCCCGGCGGTCCGTTTCACGACCCTCCGTCCGGAGGACGTCGTGGCGAATCTGTGACGGACACTGCGACATTGCGACTACGTCAGTCAAAAAGTAAAAGATGACAGGGCCACGGTGTTGTCATGGGTGTTCTGTTGTGAGCGCGGATCGAACACTAGAGAGACGCGTGGGGCGGCTGTGGCCTGTGGAGCGCGGTGGCGCATGATATGAATGATTGTATTGAATGATGGGTCAAAGTGAATAATCGGCATGTGTGTACGGCTCTATGGGGGCATAGCGGCGGCCTCGTCCGCCTCCGTCCACGGCGCGAGGTGCTGCACGTGTACACACGCGCCTCTCTTCACACTTCACACATCACAGCGCGCGGATGGGGGGGTACGGGTAGCGAGAGGAGCAGTACGCGCGCGTGGAGTCCTTGAAGCGGTCGATGCGGAATTTAACGCCGCGCGTGTCCGGGCACTGCCGTGCGAGGGCCTCCACGACCTTGACGTAGTCCCCGACCGCCAGCGCAGACTCCGCCCCCTCCACCCCCGGCAGCCGGCACGTTGCTCTCCGCCTCTGCCCACGCGCCGTTCAGCTCGGCCGCAAACTCGACGCCAGGCTCCGGAGGGTAGAGAGGGGGGGGAGGCCAGTGGGAGTGCGGAGCCGCGGAGGGCAGCGCGAGGCCGCCATGCAGGCCTCCCACATCGCGCGCGAGGTCCTCGAGCATCGGCCCGATCGACGCGAGGGACGGTGGTCGGTCCCACATCCCGTGGCTCGCATCCTCGCTATGCATATCGCCCGCCCACGTGCTGCTCAACGCGTCTGACGCGAGCCTAAGGTCAGGCTCGAGTCTTCCGGCAACGACATGTTCACGAACAGCTGCTGCCCTCCTGCTGCCTTCCTTCTCGCCCTCCCACGCCGCACGCGGGTCCGCACGCAGGAGAGCAGACAGCAACTCAACAAGAGCCCCCCGGCCGCAGCCACCCCAACCCGCTCGACGCAGCTCAGCTGCGTCGAGCGGTCGCGCGGCGACGATGCCGCCCAGGGCATTCCAACTGGCATCAGCGGAGACGAGCCAGGCCTCCGTGAGCTCGGCGACTGCGTACGAGTAGCTGCCGGGCTCTTGCGGCGGGGCGGACGGCGGCGACGACGGCGGGGGTGGCGGTGGCGGCGGCGGCGGCGGCGCGGGCGGCGGCGGCACTGGTGGAGGCTGTGGGGGCTGCGCGGGCGGCGGAGATGGTAAAGGCGGCGCTGGTGGCGGGGGTGTTGGCGGCGGCGAGGGCGGCGGCAGTGAGGGCGGCGCGGGCGGTAGCAGCGGCAGCGGTGGAGGAAGTGGTGAAGGCGGAGGAGGCCACGACGGTGAAGGTGGCGTCGGTGAGGGCGGCGGCGAGAGCGGCGGCAGGGAGGGCGGCTCCGAGGGCGGCGGCGGGGGCGGCGGCAGGGAGGGCGGCTCCGAGGGCGGCGGCGGGGGCGGCGGCAGGGAGGGCGGCTCCGAGGGCGGCGGCGAGGGCGAGGGTGGCGGCGGTGATGGAGGAAGCGGCGGCGAGGGCGGTAGCGACGGTGGTTGATGGTGGCCTGGGAACCAAGGAGGGGGGGACGCTGGCGGCGGCGAGGGGGGCGGCGGCGGCGAGAGCGGCGGCGGCGAGGGCGGCGGCGAGGGCGGCGGCGAGGGCGGCGGCGGCGAGGGCGGCGGTGGTGATGGTGGTGGGGGAGAGGGTGGCGGCGACGGCGTCGGTGACGGCGGCAATGCTGGCGGCGGCGGCAGAGCTGGCGGCGTCCCCGGGGGCGGGTGTGGAGGCGGGGGTGGCTGTGGAGGCGGCGGGGGCGCCTGTGGAGGCGACACCGGCGGGGTGGGAGGCGATTGTGGCGGCGGCGGTGATGGTGGCGAGGGTGGCGGCGACGTGGGTGGAGGCGAGGGTGGCGGATGCGGCCAGGTGTAGTCCGCCGGGACAAGCTCCGGGATCGAGCTCCGGGAGCGACTCGTACCCGACCGAGGTCGAGCAGACGTCGGAGGCCGCCGCATAGCGTGACTGCAGGCCGGCGTCGATCCACACCTTGTGCGTCGACGTGTCCGCGCATGCCGTCGCCACGTAGTTGATGAAGACATAGCCCTTTAGCCCTTGCACCACGAGCGCGCGTTCCAGGCACACAAGAGGCCGCTCTCCTGGCGCAAGCCCAGCGTCGTGAGCCTGATCTCGTGGGCGGTCGGCCCTCCGCTCCCCGGCAGCTCGAGGATCGTCACCTCTGCAGCGAAGCAGCCCGGCTTCCGGCAGGCGACCTTCACGTTGTTGCGAGTGGGCGCGTGGGCGGACGGAAGCAGGTTGCCGAGGGCGTCGCACGAGCACGAGGACCGCCTCCTCCGCCGCACTCATGCTCCAGCCTTGCAGTGTCCGGCCGGCACGGCCGAGGTCGAGGACAAACACCACCGTGCACCAAGTCGTGATTCGGCAGGAGCGGCGGCGGCGGAGGCGACGGCGGCAGCGGCGGTGCTGCCGGGTGCGGGTGCGGTGGAGGCGAAGGCGGTGGCGGTGGAGGCGGGCTGGGTCTCGGCGGCGGCGGCGGCGGCGGCGGAGATGGGTACGGCGGTAGCGATGGTGGCGGTGGCGGCGCTGCCGGTGGCGAAATAGGAGAGGGAGGCGGCGACGGCGGCGCCGAGGGCAGCGGAGGCGAGGGCGGTGAACGGGGAGGAAAAGGCGGCGAAGTGGGAGGCCTGGGTGGAAGTGGTGGAGCGGGTGGCGGTGGAACGGGGGCGAAGCGGGGAGGGAACGGCGGATGCGGATGCGGATGCGGATGCGGAGGCGGATGCTTTGCCGCTGCTGCGTGACGAGGGGCAGTGTGGACGGGAGGCGACCCGGCACCAGGCAGCAGCGCCGACAACCCCGGCCACATTAGACGGGCAGCGGCGACTTGTCGTGGACTGCAGCGGCGACTTTTATGGGCTTCTGTGTTCATAGTAGCGTGCACCCACAGCACTTGGAGCACTTGGAGTGCAGTCGGTAACCTCACATCCAGGGCCGGTGAGCTGAGAAGCGCATCCAGCGGGCCGGATGATCGGTATCGGGTTACGGGCTAGAGAGCCCTAGCCCCGGGGGTGCGCGTTCGCAGGGCAAGGGCTGTAAAGTAAACACGGGTCTCCGAGGGTTAGTCCGCGCTCCAGGTTTCCCCTAGCAGCGGAGCGCCCCCTCTACTCGGAGCTAATAAACACCAGACACGCACACAACGTACATCCCCACAGTAAAATTCTCTTTCGCGCTCACAGGGACCGTTTACCGCAAAGTGCCGAACTTAAGGTAAGGTAGCTTGAGTATGGGAGCTCTTTTCCTCTTGCCAAACTCCTGTTCTAATGTGCCTAACTCCTGCTACCCACCTCTCGGTCCCGCCGGACCGGCACACGGGCCCCGCGGGCCGCACCACTCTGAGGCATCTCCCTCCTACGTCCTACGCTACGAGCACCTACACTCGAGTACGAGTGCCTACGCTACTAGATTCCTACTCCTCCTCCTCCTCCTCCTCCTCCCCCTCCTCCTCCTCCTCCTCCTCACTCGCCGCACCCTCGTCGTCCGAGTCGGCGCCGGCGCGCTGCACCATCTCGAGCTCGGCCGCGACCTCGCCCAAGCACGTGGCACCGTCGACGTCGGCCTTCTTGATGATCGTGCCCCGCCGGTGGTTGGTGTACTTGGTGTAGTTGCCCTCCGTGTTCTTGACGAGGCCCACGTCGACGAAGCACTTGCGCATCGACTCCTGAGCACATGCTGGTGAGAGCGCGCAAGGGCGGGGCGCGGGAGATGCTACGGCTCGCCTCGGCGCACCAAACGCGAGGGTCAGCTGCGTCTTGGGCATTGGCTTGGGGTAGACTAGGCTCGTCCCCGCTAGGGTGAGCAGCAGCAGCATGCACAGCGGATAGAGCGCGGGGACACGTCAGCGCCACCAAAAAAGAAATCCCCTCGCCCTGCTACCCCGTGCCTAACTGCTGCTACCCCGTGCCTAACTCAGTGCAAAGCACCTAACCTAACTCAAGCTACCTTACCTTAAGTTCGGCACTTTGCGGTATTACAAAAACTTTGCCTCGCCGGCTCGCCGGGGCCCGGGGGCGCAATGTGGTGTATGTGGCTTCACCTCGCCAGCCTCACGGCGGCCTGCCGGCCTCCGGTCTCCGAGACGCGCTTCGCGCGCCTCGCTGCCGCCGCCATCTCCACCGGCCGGCCGCTCCGGCTCACAAACCGGAGCGTGCAGCTTCACGCTCCCTTCCGGCTGCGCTCGAGCCAGCGGCTGACAATCGTCGGCGGCGACTTCCACGGCGACGGCCACTCCCTCTTCCAAGTCGAGGGCTCACGGCAGGGCCTCCTCGACCTGCGCGGCGTGCGGCTCCTCCACGCCTCCTCGGCGGAGCGCTCTGAACGGCGCGAGAGTGTGGCCGCGAGAAAGCGCCCCCTTCATGTGGCATCAGCCGGGTTTAAACCACCCAGGCGCGCGCGCGGCGCCGCCATCTTTGTGCGAGGCAAGGGGCAGCTGGCGCTCGAGCGGTGCGAGCTGTCCTCTGAGACGGGCTTCGGCCTCTGGCTAGTCTAGCGGGCGCGGGCGGCGGCGCGAGACAGCCACTTTCACGGCGGCCGCCGCTCGTCCATCGTGGCGTTTGAGCAGGCGAGCCACGCGAGCGGGGGCGGTGCGCGGGAGGAGGCATGGGGCGGAGTGCGGCTGCCCTCGCTTCGTAGGCAAGCTTGGACCTGCTCGGCTCGCGCCTGAGCGGCGCGGCGCCGCACGCCATCTGCGCACGCGGCGAGACGCGGCTGGCGGTGAGCGGCCGATGTCGGCATATCTCGGTGGCCTCGGCGGCAGGCCGACGAGGCTTCTGCTGCTAGGTGCGGCGCTGCACGATCGACGGTTCTGCGGTGCGCGCCATCTACGCGTATCACTCGGCCAGCCTCGAGGTGTCGGACTGCTCCATCAGCGGGACACGCTCGGCGGAGGTGGGGGCGGTCGAGGCGGAGGCGGTGCTGAGAACGGCGTCTCTTCACTAGCGCACAACTTGGACAGGCGGCAGCGGTGGAGGTGGAGGCGCTGAGGCCGACGGACTGCGCCTCGCTCTCGCTGTCGGGCAACGCGTTTGCAGACAACGCCGGAGGGGACCTCGCCGTCCGGGGCAACGTGCATCGCCAAGGCGGCGCGGTCGTCGGCGCGGGGGCGGCGGCGGGCGACGAGAGTGGTGCTGACCCACGGCGGTTGTCGACGTAGAGGAAGGATATGGGTGAGTTCACGCTTTAAAATATACCGAATTTCTTTCCAGTGCGCGCCAGTCCCGTGCCCAGTGTCGTGCGAGGAGTTTCGGGGGAAAAGTAAAAATTCTTTCCCGACGGATACCGAACGGGCACCACATCTTCGCGAAACACACAGAATGCTCTTCCCCCGCTTCGGCCGCCGCCTCTTCTCCACATTGCCCGCCGCCACCGAGTCGTCGCTACCGCTGGAGGGTCAGGTCGCCTGGGTGGTTGGTGGGGTTGGCATTGTCGGCTCAGGGATTGCACACGGGCTGCTCGCTGCCGGCGCCACCGTGATCGTGAACTCTCGCCACGAGCAGCGGCTGGAGAAGATCAGCGAGGCGATGGGCCACCCGGCTCGCCTCGTCACCGTTGGCGCCTCCATGCTGCCGGGCCGCGCCGAGATTACCGTGGAGCAAGTCATGGATATGACCTCGAACCAACTCGACCACGTCGTGGCACATGCGGGCGGGCGGCCGTGGGCGAGCGGCGGCGGCGACGAGACGTCGACCACCTACAACCGCGGCAGCGTCCTCCACATTCCGGCCGACGAATACGCCTCCGCCGCGTCGCAGCTCGGCTCCTTCCACTTTGCCGCGGCGAGCCTGCTTCTGCCGCGGCTCACTGATGCGGGCAAAGGGTCCTACACCTTCGTCACGAGCAGCACCTCCGCCGCCTGGGGGCCTCGATCGTACATGACCCAGGTCAACTCATACGGCGTGATGGGCCTCGCAGGCGGCCCGGCGAGCGCTCTCGCCCACTTGACTCCCACCGCACTCCCCACCCCTCTCCCACCGCCCTGCGGCTGCGCGCACCCCTCTCCCACCCTCCCCACCCCTCCCCACCCCTCTCCCACCGCCCTGCGCGCGCCCCTCTCCCACCACCCCTCTCCCCACCCCTCTCCCACCGCCCTGCGCCCTAGGCGCTCTGCGTCGCGAGGCAAAGGACGCGGGATGGGCGTCGCGCGTCGGTGGCCTGGATGTGCCGGGCGGAGGCCTGCCGGACGCTTTCCCTGGAAGCTGCCCTGAACCTTCCGCGTAGGCGAGCTGCGGCTCGGCAGCGGGCTGAAGCTCGACCGGCCAGAGGTGCACAGCGGCGAGCCCCAGAGGTCCACGACACACCTCTCTGAGCCGTCTCTGAGCCTTGCTGCGCAGGCGGAGCGGGAGAGCGAGCCTCGGGAGCGGCCACTCAGCCACACGATCGGCAGCGTGGTGGCGGGGATGGCGGCCAAGGGCGCAGGCGGCCTCGTGCAGGCCGACGACATGCCGGAGCTGCTGCGGCTGGAACAGGAGCTCCGCTGAACGCTCTGGGCAGTCTGCTGGCATGTAGAGAGAGAGCGGCGCGCGTCGTCGTCCTCTGGCTACTTTAGCGGGAGCTGACGCTGCGCGAGTGGAGGCGCGTGCGCTGCCGCCGCTGGCAAGCGGATCGTCCCAGCTGCGCACCTTCCGGGCGTATGGCCCCTGAGTGTGATTTTTCGCGTCAATTTGTTGGGTGCTCTCCGGAAATCTCTCGCGCTGTGTGTGTACGTGTGTGTGTGGTGTGTCGTGCGCTCCCTCCGCCGGCACGCACTACTCCCGCCGTCCGTCAAGTCTCTCCGCGCAGGACCCCCTCCGCACATGGAGTCATGGACATAGGACATGCACATATATGATAATATTATCTTTATGCCCGGATGCGGAGAATCTCTCGCAAATAAATAGAGCCGTACGATCATGCACATGCTTCATGGGGTTGAATCGTCATGCGCCCCGAGATGCCCGCAGGTCTCAGGTCTGGTCCCGCGCCGCTCCAGACACCAGAGCTCCAGAGACACCAGAGACACCAGAGCCCGGCTCCCGGTCCCGCGCGGGGGGGGGGGTGGGAAGACTGGGAGGGGCGTTGTGAGAGGATACAGGATAGAGCTCGAGGGATAGAGAGATGAGAGTGCGCGTGGCGTCGCGAAAGTTTTCGTTTTATCATGGCCCCCAGGGGAGATCTCCAGAGATGGACAAAGGACAGCGCGAAGGCACGAGGAGGCAGGCCGCCCGCCCGGGCACACCAAAGCTACATCTAGCATGTAGAGGCTGAAGTAGAGGCCGGGACCTCTCACACTCTTCGGCCAGCCCCGTGGCGCGGGGGTCGTGGTGTGGCGCTCTCTCCTTTGCTCCTCACTGGCGCACCGCCTCGATGAGGCGCGAAAAGTAGAAGTTCGTGCCCGTCATCTCGGTGCGCGACGGGGCGAAGCCGGCTTCGGAGAGCGCCTGCGCAGCGGGGGCTCGACGCCTCACGATGCGAGAGGCTCCTTCTTGGCCGTCGCAGTATGATCTGCTGGCCATCGGACTACGAACTGCAGCCGGGCCGAGGTGGAGCCGAGCAGCTAAGGCTGCTCAGGTCCACGAGTGGCAGCAGGCGGGCGTGTATAAGGCGTGTGGCATAACTGCCCCAGGCTGCTCTCCGACTTGAGGGCGGCGTCCGGTCTCGGGGAATCTCGGATCGTCTCGCTCGCCTTGAGGACGGCCTCCTCGGTGTGCAAGTAGGCGCGCGTCGTCTTGGACGGGCCCGGGAAGAGCTCGCCTGCGCGCGCGGCGGCGGCGGGCGTCGGCGGAGAGGCCGCTGCAGCCTTGGCCGGCGGCAGGCGGCGGCGGTGGCCCACCGAAGCGCTTGAGGGCGCGGTAGTACCACGTGTCCGGCGCGAAGGAGAGGATGAGCCGCTCCTTTGCGATGCCGCCGAGGTGCCCCACCATGCCCGCCTACGTTCCCACCCCGGCGGTCGTCAGGACTGGGGCTCCTCTGCCCTGAGGCTCCTCTGCCCGCTGGCCGGGCAGGGCGGCGGCGGGCGCGCCATCTTTTCGGGCGGGTAGTGGATCATGACGTCGATGCACGAGACGGTGTCGTACTCGCCGCTGAGCGACTCGAGGTCCGACGTCGAGAAGGACGCGCGCTCGCTCAGGCCCAAGTCCGCCGCACGCCGCTCTGCCTCGGACGCCATCGCGCCCGCGATGTCCGAGGCGACGACGGTCGCGCCGCGCTGGGCGAGCGGAATGGCGAGCGAGCCGACGCCGCAGCCGGCGTCGCACCAGGTGCCGTCGGACAGGGACTCCCTCCCGTCCGAGTCGACCCATTTCAGGATCTTGTCCACCGTCTGCCCGTGGCCAGTCCTGATGTCCAGCTGCAGCGCAGCGGCAAGGGCGGGCGGCCGTGGTGACCGAAGGCGCGGGCGGGCGGTGGGCGGGAGCGCGGCGAGAGGCGACGCGCTGCGGTGGCGGCGGGGGCCGTGGTGGCGGCGGTCGCGGGCTTCCGATGCACCTGCACCGCGTTGACCTCGCCGTCCTCCGAGTAGATGCGGTTCCAGCGGTTGAAGCCCTCGTTGTTGAAGTACTCCTCGACCTCTGACTTGTCATCGACGCAGACGGGCGAGGCGGCACGCGAGGCGGCGAGGCAGCGCGGAGGCGCGTGGGGCGCGTGGGGCACCGTGAGACCGAGTATGCTGGAGGCTGCGAGCTGCAGCATAATGGATTTCCGTCGAAAAGAAATCGGTCGAGCCCAGACCCGAGGAGGCGCCAGCGTTGATATTGTCTTTTTTTTCTGTGTGCTGCACGCCCTGCGAGCGGGGCGGGGTGCGCACTGTCCCTCTGTGTTCGTGCGTCGCCCATCTCTCCTGGAGATGTCTGCTCTATTTATTTATTTATAACACAGACACCATCCGGGTGGGCCATCTCGTGAGTGCCGTGCCGCAAAACTGTCGAAAAGGAGGTCGAGGAGGCGGGGGGGGGGCGGGCGGCGGCGTGGAGGGCGAGGGCGTGGCGGCGGAATGAGGCGCTAGCGCGAGAAAAAGAAGGCGCGGCCCCCGGCGCGAAAGAGGCCGCCGCGCCGGAAATCGCAAAATTAATCGCCGCTGACCATTGCGAATACTTTCTTCTCAGGGTGTGTTGTTGCAGGCTCTACGCTTGCTGTGGGCTTGTGCTGTGCGAGAGCCCGGGCACAATACGTTGATGGCGGACATCCGATACGCCGTGTTTTGGGACTATGAAAATCAACCCGGTCATCCGGCCCACGCGTCCCAAGCCGTGGCAGATGCAGTGAATTCATTGGGCGCCAACGTTTGTGAGGAGCGACGCCTGTATTCTGACCCTCACATCAGCAATGTGGCACTCAGCAGGCATGCAAATGACCTAACTTGTTGGACGCAAATTGAGTGCCCGCACCATAAGAAGAAGGAAGTCGTCGATAAGCGGATTATCGCAGACATGTTCTTATTTGCGCTGACAGCACGAGCTCCCGGGCCGTGCGTGGTGTTGATTTCCAGTGATGGCGACTACGCCTACTCGTTGGGCAAGCTACGAGAGCATGGGTGCCGCATCGTCGTTCTCGTCGATCACCAGAGCTCGGAGCAGCTCAGGCCCGTGGCAGACATCGTTCGCCCATTCACAGTGGAGCGCTTGCCCGACTCTGCGACAAGGCCCAGCAAACGCCCACACGCCGAGTGCGCAGCGGCTTCTGCAACTTCAGATGGTGGGATACTTGCGACGAGCATCCAAGGGCCGGTCGGCAGCGCATTTACAGGTGGTGTCTTCCAATGTGTCGTTCACCTGCCTGACGCTTCCCAGAGCAACCTCCGATGGTGAAGATGCGCACGAAAATCTACCATCCCAACATCGATGGTCAGACTGGCAGTGTGCTGCTTGCGAACTGGTCGCCTTCGGTGCTGGTCGAAAAGTCGATCGCGCAGGTGGTGGCAGAGCTGCTCGCCAACCCCATGCTCGGACTCACTAGTCCCAGCGAAGCGTTGAATCCGAAGACGGCAAAGACGTTCCTGCGGGACCCTTGCAAATTCAAACAGACAGCAGCGGAGTGGGTGCGGTTGTATGCAACGCCATCCAGCAGCAAGGCACCGTGTTGATATCTCTTCGCTGGAGACTACCGACTGTGTGAGTGAGAGAGAGATTGGTTTTGTCCGTACTGTTGATGTGTACCACACACCACACGTGCATGATTCTCGCGTGCCTGTGGCACACGCCGCTCGCGTAGCAGCTCGCTCCGCACCGCACCGCAAAAAAAAAAACTCTGACACCTTGCGAACTCCTTGGCGACGCGCGCGCCGCGTCGCCAAGGCTCAGCGACCTCGGTCGTACAATCGGCCGGCTGCGCGGGTTTTCGGCGAGGGAGTTTCCCGCGCACCGGCCACGACGGACCAACCAGACCAAAAATCGCAACGCTCGCGCGCAAAAATCAGCACGGAATCAACGCTCACGACGCTCTTGATGATCTCGAGGATTCGAGGATTTGAGGATGGTGAGGGGTGAGGGTGAGGTGTGCCCCCCCCCTCCCCCCCCGCCCGGCCTCGAACCCGCAGCCAACCGGCCCGAATGCGAACCTCTGACCGCTACGCCAGCCACCAATGCACGAACCTCGACGCCACAAATTTCTGAACCCCATACACCCATGCACTCAGCTCACAATCAGCACCCTACACAGTATGATTCCCGCGCGTCTCGCGCCCCAACTGACAACTCACCATTGTCCCTCGGACACCACTCTCCAGCCGCGCTACTTTCGCCCACCCACCGCTCTCGCATGACATCTCGACAATCCTCATCTCTGGGCCCAAGACTCCTAACCACTTCCCCTGCTCGCCCAGGACCACGAAGCGCCGCCCGCGCGCCCATTACCCCCCAATCAACCCACGCTGTCCCTCAATCGCCACCCGCCAGATGTACTGCCCTCGCCCACCCAATACTCTCACCCTCTTAACCCGGACAGTCCAGGTACAGGAAAAGCGGGGAGCGGGGCCCGATCCAAGGAGCACCCCGTCGGCCCGGGAGGGCTGTGAATTTCGGCGCGGGCGGAAGGCTGCCTGCAGACGCTCAGCCCCTGGCTGAGCTGCCGAATCCTCCCGGCTAATCCCCTGACCTGCCGCCTGAAACGGGACAACATTACACCACCTCACACACACTCCCCCCTCAGGGCTAAGCAGTGCGCAAGTCCACCCGAACTCTAGGCGAGGCGTCGACCACTCCTTCGGAATAGCTCTGTCAGTGGCTGCACTAGACGCCCAGTGATGGCGCGCGGCGCGGGCGGATGACTGGAAGAGAAAATGCGGAGATGCTAGCTCGCAGTACCTAGATGTGCT